GAGCGTATTAAAATAACTGCACCTATATGCCCTCCACAACCCAGGGCTCCCTCTAGTTAGTTCAGTTTTACTGTTCCTTTGCCCTTCCAAAGAAGAAAAAAATCCCAGCTCTGCAGACAGGAAGGTGAAACTTGTTTAATGTGGCTATTGCTGCTCCTAGTCCTGGTTACAATCTCCTACTCACCAGAATGTGGTCAGGCACAGCATACTTTGCTATCTTGGAAGCGACGATGGTTTTGAGCTCTTCTTTGACACGATCTTTCTGAGTTGTCTCTTCCTTTACCACTATGAAAGCAAAGGCACCTGGAAGAAAAATGAGCAAAAGTCATCTACCTCATATGAGAACCTGGCTGGCAAAAGTGCCAAAGTTCACTTGAATGAGGATGCAGCTGTCAAGTCATTCAGATATTCCCAAGAAAATCAGAGCTCCTGTCTACAAAAGAAGAGAGTAAAACTCCAGATCCCAAATGAAAGCTTGACTTTGTTTCAGCATCTGTGGATGAGCCTGGAATCTCAGGGACAATGACAGTTCAGCAGAAAATATCTAAGTGTAATTGAGATCAAAACTTGGCCAGCAAAGATCAGTTCTGCAGCCACAAAAAAGGCCAGAGAGAGCCATGAAAGTAACTGTATGTCACACAGCTGGCTGCAGTACTGCTCCCTGAACTCCTTTGGCACATAGTGTTTCCCTACTTGGCAGGGTCATCCCAGTCAACCTAAAGAGCTGGATAGCTGGCCTCCCCTTCTCTAGGCACCCCTTACACATAGCCTGGGCTAGAAATTAAGTAATGCATACGTGTGCGTCACATCAGCCACTGCTTTTCACATACCTTCTCCTTTGATCTCATGCGGATACCCAATCACAGCCGTCTCAGGGACCTCCGGATGATCAGCCTTCACAAAAAGGAAAACAAAAATACACAGAGCTTAACAACCGGCTGAAGCCCTGAGGCTTGTGCCAGCCGCTCTAGGAACAAAAGAACTTTAGGAACAAAAGAACTTGCGACAGGGCTGAGGAGCCTGTTAATCTCCCCTTGGCCAGATCCTGCTCTAAACACAACAGGATTGCGAGATCCCACCTCTATTCCATATAGTCAGCTGATGTGATCGTGGCCATGTCCCAAGAGCAGCATTTACTCACTGGAGTAGCCCTTACATACACTGTTAGGCCTCGTGCACCCCAACCTGAATTTGCTTCAGCCTAAAAACTGCTCTGCTTTCCTTTGTCTGTGCTCTTTTATGTTCTTGGCTACAGTCTCACCAACCAGTGCCTGGCCAGGTCTCAAAAAAAACCCGTCCTGCAACGCCCCGTGCTACAGGAACTGTCCCCAGCAGAGCAAGAGCGAAGCTGCCAGCACTGCAGTTCACAGTTCACTGGTGCATCCATTCCCAAAGCACAAAAGGAGATAGGAGGGATCAGGCCTTCCCGCCAGGGAAGGAAGGGATGTTCTGCTGAACGCTCCACAACAGTGGTTTACACTGCTGCTCTTTAGAATTTAATCTGACACTCTTCTGCAGGAGAATGATGGTGGTGCAGCACAGATCTGAATCCCACATCAAGACTGGATTCTGCTGTAGTAGATTTTTTAAGTAGATTAAAATATGAAAGAAAATGTTGCAGAGCAACATAAATATATAAGCGCATGTATGTACCTACATGCATATACATATAGTGGGAGAGGAACTGGATCCTACAGCCATGATTGGAACTCCACACAACACAGGCAAGAAATTCATTCACAGAACACACTGTAGAGTCCTATCTGCCATGCCAGTACAGCTCAGATTTATCAACTGCTACCTCTAAGTGCCATTTGCAAGCAAGACATACAATACAGAAATAAATATTCAGGCCAAGCTTTGAAGATAAATCCTTTGAGGACTTTTTGTTTTCAATTCCCTGAGCTAATATCATTTTCTCTGTAAGCGACAGGCTAGTTTCACAGCTGACACAAATCAAGGCTGCTTTAAATTTAAACTGCTGAATTCTCAAGCACACTCAGCTACTACAGATGAGCATGAACCACTGATTCAGGAAGGAAAGGTTAGTTGTTAGCTCAGGGGATGGAACAGACAGAACAGCTTGTTCCACACGGAGACTCCACTGGCATTCACAATTACAACTGCAACAGCACAAAGCCGATGAGAGGAAACCCAGCTCTGAGGTCTCAGCTGCAGGCACTGGGCATGGCGTGACTCCTCTCTCCCTTGCCTGTTTGCAAGCTGCTTTCTAACAGGGCCATTTCCTTCTGCATATTCATTATTCATAATGCATCAAGCGGTATATGTGGAGGGGCAGGGGTTCAAAGGCCACACTGTCACACCAAATTAACCAGACCCTGCCCTCGTATGAAATCATATCCCTTCCTTCAAGGGGTCCTCCTTGTCTGCTCATGTGACCTGTCGTGGGGCCTCTCTCTGTCCACAACTCACCATAGCATCTTCTATCTCTGCCGTCCCAAGCCTGTGGCCACTGATGTTAATGACATCATCCATGCGCCCCGTTATCTGGTAATAGCCTTCCTCCGTCCTGTACGCTCCATCGCCTGTGAAGTAGTAACCTGCAGGAACGACACGTGGGTGACCAGCAGTGAGAAGTGTGCCAGCAAACTGCTTCAGCCTCGGGTGCAGGACGCACTTATGGAGAGCACATCTACGCTTCTGTACTCTATACACATCTATACTCAGCTGTGCAGCCCCTGGGGAAGCCCGACCCCTCCGCTGCGTTGTCAGCCACGAGCCCTGCGACATGACCAGGAGACCCAACCCAGTGGTTTCAACACCCTGCAGTGCCACAAGGTCATGGCTGGTGACACAGGTTATGTGGGCTCTTCACCAAAGCCATGTCCGCGTATCAGCTCTTCCTGTGACACTTCTCAGCTGCAGACAGTAGCAGTGCAAGCAACAGGCAGTGCTGTGAAATCTGAGGGCAGATCTTGCCAGGACCTGTGCCCGGTGAGTTCATGGACCTTCAGTAATGCCTCCTACTCTTCCAAACTGAGGAACTATTGCCCTATTTTAAATACCGTCAGGATTTCAGATGCAAACATGTAGCAAGCAATAAGGAGGTATAGCTTATTTCATGTCAACAGTATCAGTTTCCCACTCTTACTTTCTGTCCCATTTTGTACAACTTGGAGGACTGTCTCTCTGATTCTTATCTCTCTTCAATGCTTCCCAAACCCTTTCAGCTGCTCCCCTGAGTGAAGACAGTCGTCTTGTCCAACCTCCCACAAGGATTTTTCCCTGCCACTTCTAATTACTTGCCTCATAAAATGTGACCATGTTTATAAAGGAAGGATGCAATAGAAGCTGTCACTGCAAGCATGAGATTCAGCAAGATGCTTCAGTAATAATTTCCCATCCTATGTTCCTGTCTCCCAGTGAGACACTAAATGGTCCCAAAGAGAGAGAATCTGGGCTTGTGTTTTGGGCATTATGATTTCCTCAATATCTATTATCTTTTTGACAGATAATAGAGTCAAGTCTAAAACTGTCCTCCCTTGGCACCCTCCTTACCTGGGTAGGCTTTGAAATAGGCATCAACAAACCGCTGGTGATCTCCATAGATGGTTCTGGCCATGCCAGGCCATGGCTGGGCAATGCAGAGCGCACCAGACACATCATTTCCCTCTATCACCTTTCCCTGCAGGCTCAAGCAGAGGAAGGATCATCAGGTGTGTGACATAGAGAAAGGGAGTTCTTCTGAGTCACTGATCTGGCAAGATTCAGCCCAGTGCTCAGCGGGCTGCAAGGGGAGGACTATGCGTGGAGTAAACGAATCTACAAGCGCAACTGCTGCAGGCCATCTGGGTCGTGCCTTCCTCACCCCCAAGGCCAGCAGCGCAGCGGAGAGGGCAGTTATCAGAGTGAAAGAAAAGTGAGCCCTGGGATTCTGCAGAAGGGAGGGCCAGAGAAATGACAGCAAACATGTGCCCAGAGGATGTCTGGGATGAGACTGGCAGGGAAGTGCTTGGACTACTGTCTTCTCCTTGCAAGTGAGACTTGGACTCTTTTCTCTATGTGTTAGTGAACTGACACATCCCCTTATTAAACTGTTTACTAAGGGGATTCCAAGTTTTTGTCTTTAACAGGGCACTGGAGTGTAGAGTGGGATTGCTTGGCTCAGCTTCACGGACCGGCATCGTTTCTCTCACAGACATCCACAGCCGCAAGGACTCATGCCTGGAGAAGAGCACTCACACCCTTGGAAAACTCCATCAGCCTCGTTGGCTGCTCTGGCCTTGCCGTGTCTCTGGTTGTCCATGTGTAGTTCCCATGCGCCACTGTGCGACTTCTGACACTCTCACAAAAAGAAGCAGCAGCTCTTAACCAGAAGTGGTGAAAGAAGATAAAAGTGGGGTCTAACATCTAAACATATCTCCAGAGATTTTCAGACAGCTTGCAACACCCCCTTGGCAATCTCTATAGGCATTTGAGATATGCTGGGATACATAAATTTCTCATCTGTTGCACCATTTTAAGAGAGGAACAAACATTCTCCTAGATCCTTCTCCTCTGCCAACAGGAAGGTGATTAAAACAGACTCATGCAGCAGGTTCTCTTTTGAGCACCAGGCAGAGCCCCAACTCACACTCTCATCCATCAGCACAGGAACAATCCCAAAGAAGGGTCTCATAGCCATAGCTGGAATGATCTCAGCTTTCTCCTCTGAAGGCCGTGGGGCAATGCAGATGCCACCAGTTTCTGGAAGAATAATGAAAAATAAAATGTTTGAGGTCTATCAGATGCTGGATGAAAGGAAGTGCCAGGTCTTCATGGTTAAGAATGAGGATAGAGAAGCCCCTTGCAGGTGACAGCCACTGGAAAAAAAACAGTGCCACACTGCTCTGAAACCACCACAGACTAAAGGAAGTGCCAGGTCTTCATGGTTAAAAATGAGGATAGGGAAGCCCCTTGCAAGTGACAGCCACTGGAAAAAAAATATGCCACACTGCTCTGAAAGCACCAGAGACGTGAGAAACCAAGAGGTCTTTATGAGCACCAGAAAGCCTCACACATAGGAATAAAGGCTGGCAAGCTGGAGTGACACCACCCAGGCTTATTCTATCTGCAAGGCAAGCTGGAGTGACACCACCCAGGCTCACTCTGCAAGAGACATTTCAGCAGGTAGGGAGCAGAGAGCCCCCCTTCTTGTGGAGTTTAACTGAAAGTTCTTCCCTTTCCCTGTGTGCATGGTGCTGCAGTCAGCACTGGCCATACAGATCACTCCTCAGCGCTGCCCATACGGATCAGACTTCCAGCTCAGCTTCCCAAGGACTCAGAGAAGACCCTGCAGCAGCAGCAGACACCATGTGTGTGCGTTCAACAGCCTTCCCATGGTCCCACCCCTGGCAAACCACGGGATGAAGAGCCCACTGGTACAGCCCACTTGCTCTGTTCCCAGAATCTGTCCCTAAGTCACACACTCATAAATCCGTTCCTCCAACTGTCAACCAGCAATGAGTACAGGGACCTCCAAGCACATCCTTGCAGCCTCCTCTCAGGTCAGCATGGGGCTGGTGAGGTGCTGGTATTTATCAGTCCCATTTCCTACCCCACAAGGGATTTTACAGGAAAAGTATGTCAGGGGATTTTTCTCCTTGTGCTGTTTTTACTGCACTCTGTAGGACAGTATAAAAAGCTCTTCAAGAGCCTGAATTACTGTTATTACAGAAAATGAGAATAACCCACCCACCACAGGCAGGCTGAGATTATCTTCTACTCAAAAGTGAACCTTTTAATCATTGTTTGTCACCCTTTCTGGGATGCACATTAGACCAGTTTCCAACTTTAATGAGATCCTCTCTATTCTAAAACTAATTTAGAGACATAGGAGAGAAAAAAAACATGGGAACGTGAGGTGTAGGTATCAGAGCAGGGGAAGTGATTAAGGTGATGGTTGCTCTTCTTGAGCAGGCATTCGTTCTGCACGCAGCGCCGTAAGCTGCTCTGCCACGTGGGTTTTGTCACATCCAACACAACCCGCAGCTGCACATCAGCAAAGTCGCATTCCAGAGGCAGCTGCACAGTAGCAGGAGTGTGTTAAAAATAATTTAAATAGTTAAGACCTATGCGAACATATGCATGGAGGTTCCTCAACCAGTTTAAAAGTGCCCGCTTTAGCCACTGACGGATGAAAGGCAGTGAATCTTACAGGAGGAGGCTCTGCCCTGCTTGAGACCTGCTCCGCTCTCCTCAGAGGTAGAGGTGGCAGAAGGAAAACTGTGCTTATGCTTTATCCGCTGCCACGTTGTCACCTTGGGCAGGTAATGTATAGAAACAGGTGCCCTCCTGCAGTAGGTAGGTCACTTCTGGCAAGAGGGTAGAGCATGAGGCCTCCACTGCTGTTTTCTTAAACCCCCACAGCTAGACAGGCCGCTCCGCCTCCGCCTGCTTCAGGAGGGAAGCCAGCAAAGCCACAGCCAGCAAAGCCACTGCAGGACAGTGTCCAAGTAAGAGCCCTGCAACAGAACTGCCCGGGCCTTTTCAGAGATGTCCTTCAAGAACCGCTATTGTTTGTGATACGTTCTGCATACACACTGTTGTGCTGGATTTCTGGTATAAATCCAACAACAAAAGTAAAAATACCTGGTGTCTCTCCTGCAATAGACCTGATACTTAAGCACAGCTTTGATCCTATTACTGTCAATTACCACACAGATATTGCTATCTAATATTTCAGCAATAGTAGTCATAGAATTTTTCTGCCTCTTTCATTGGCACATACTACAGCACTTAAATTGCTTTTCATAATGGCCATCTCACTCATCTGCTCATCCAAAATCTTTCGAATTGACTCCTAAATCCTCATTTGTTGATATTTATGCCTGCTGAGCTTTATTACCAGGTAACACGTTGCTGCTTTGGGTAGTAACAGAGCATAGAGGACACTGCATACAACAGTTCAATTAACAAGCTGCACCAAAATTGTTTGAGAGAAGTGACACTGCAGCACCAGAAGCAGCATCCATCAAACTGTTTAGATGATCTCTTTCCATGCTCTCTTTATGCCCAAATGGCAAATATAATCTTTCCATGATTAATTTGGCTTCCTTTTTATTGGAAGCATCAAATCTGGAGGAAGATTGATTCTACTTTCTAGCAAAATCAATTTTGTAAGCATTTATCATTATATTACGCTTCCAAGAGACGGTGTTTGCCTGCAAATTCACACCTAGTTCAAGGTAAGCATCAAGCACTCTGCATGAACAGGCTGTCCAGCAAATGTGCTTCAATCCCTCACCTGATAGTTGTTGCTCCAAGGACAAAAAAAAAAAAGGAAAAATACAGCTTAGCTCAAATTTTTAACAATGAAAGATCTTAGAGCGTAAAAAAAGGTTTTGCATATCAGTAACTTAAGCTAAAGCCAAAACTGTTGGAGGCAAAAAAGACCATGTCTCATTTCCATCCACAGTAATCAACTGTTTTCTCCATGCACTTTATCTCGGATCAGCGGGAGGAGGAAAACAGGCAGCTTGCAGCCAGGCAGGCTTTCTTCTTCCCAGCATGCAAGAGCCCAGATGGTTTAAGAGATTACTAATTGAAGTAGGTAGTACGTAGAATTGCTGCTTTGAATTCTGAGGCTGTTTTATTTAAATAGGAAAATAAAAACTCTGCACAGCTGATCTGGATTAAATGTGACTTGGCTGTGTGCCAGAAACTAGCTCATCACATCGAGACTGGCCGTGTGGATCCTCAACAGAGTCTGGCAGACTGTGTGGACACAGTTCCACCAAGAATTTGGGAAAGAGCATTCCAGGTGCCGTTAGCAGCGCTCAGTATCCGTTCCCAGAAGAGAGGCCTTGCCGCGGAGGTGGCCGGGAAGGGGCTGCAGTGCTCCCCCAGGCGCAGGGCCCTGCTCCCAGTGGAGCAGCCTCTCTCATGCAGATGATGGTGAGCAGCTTTGTCTGGCACCAAGAGAGCACGGAACCAGAGGTCTGCTTGGCAACACTGGGAATAATATGTTGCTGGCTGGGAGGTGAGGAGGAACCAGCTGTGAATTATTTCCCTGCTGCAACTTGGCAGAGATCTGAGACCACAGCCAGGTACCCCAGTCACTGTTGAGCGGGCTGTAAGTGGAAACCAGCCCTTAACTGACACTGAGAACGCGCAGAGCCAGGCCAAGCACGTTGCCAAAAAAGAGGTGCATTCCTCCACTGAGCCCATAGCAAAGCACCTGCAACGTGCTGAGTGCCCTTGCTCCTGCGAGAGGGTGCTCGTTCCCGTCCCCGCTGGGGAGGAGCGCTTGTCCTGTGCCTGACGCACAGCCAGCAAGCTGTAGCTCATTCCTTTTCAATCAGCCAGTGTCTACACAGCCCAGTTTTCCTTGCTACTCTGATCTTTCTCAAGAAAGCAAATAAGGCACATTTAAGCATGGTTTATGGTGATATGGTGCTATAAAAGCCTTTCCATGATAAGACCATCCCAAGGTCAGGCCAGTTAAGGAAATGATTTCCATTAAGCTTCCAATTCAAGCTGCTTTCTCCCACCTGGGCCAAGGAATTTGTTTTCCGCCTTCATTTGCTAGAACTTCTTGAGATTTTCCAACACTGAAAATATCAAAGAAGAGTTCCAGGGAGAAAGCTATTGCTTTTATATTTTATTACAGTGCTGTTATGTGATTTGCAAAATCTGATCAATATACCAAGAAGGGTTTTTTTTGCAGGCTCTTTTGGTCAAGTCGAAGTGCACTAACGCTTCCCTACCCAGCACCACCACCAAGATGGCCCTGTGAAGGGTCAGGCCTGCATCCTCCCAAGGAGGCCTCTTACCTGTCTGCCACCATGTGTCAACGAGAGTGCAGCGCCCGTCTCCCACCACGTGGTAGAACCACTGCCAGGCTTCGTTGTTGATGGGCTCTCCCACTACAGCCAGAACAAGAAAGGAAAGAGACTGAGGCACAGGGGGTTCAGGCAGTTCGTTCTCCCTTGCTGTGCAAAACATGCTCATTGCGTGATCTCTCTTCAAAATGCTTGCAGCATTTTTGCTCAGATGGGCAGAGACCGCAAGGCACTATGCAATGGGGAAAATATCACCGGGGCCACCTAGACCAGGGAAGGTCAAAACAGTGCTGTTTACCACAAGGTAAATCGTTTTAGCCAAGAACATAATCCCCCAAAAAAAAAAAAAAAAAAAGTAGGAAATGGACAATCACACTAAACTGCAATGGCACCAACTTCAGTTTCTTTCTCTTCTGCTGAGACTATATCTGAAAAACCAGATGAGGAACGTGCTTTATTATCTATTTGTTATCTATTTACAACCATATCCCATTCAGTCAGCCAAGCTTCTTTGGTGTCTGTTCTTATCTGCTAGAACCCTCTGTATTTTTCAGAGGAAGATTTTGTGCCTCTCACCTGATCCCAGGGTCTTTAAGGAAGATCTGTCATATTTCTTCACCCACTCATCTCCATACTTCAGCAGCAGGCGTACAGCTGTAGGTGCTCCATAAAATTGATTAATTTTCAACCTTTGTACCATTTCCCAGTAACGACCTGCAAGATCCCAAGCAGCCCATTTATCTGTCTGGCAGCGGAACACACTGCCACAAAGGCTCAATGCAAAGGTTAACAGCTAAAGCTGTGACTAGTATAAGTACAGAGCAAAACCAACAGCACTTTTTTTTTTTGGTTTTCCAACCCTGGATGTGCAGATGTTCCTGAATGTTACAGTCACGTGTTCCAAAGAAATAACATCCCCTGAGTAAGCAGGTGACACTGGACAGTTTCCTGCATCTCCTTTTGCCATGTTATACTGCCAGGTCCATCCAAACCCTTGCTCCCCGCTCCCTCACCTGGGTCGGGGTACACTGGAGTACTTTCAAACAGCACAGAGGTGGCTCCGTTGCAGAGTGGTCCGTACACAACATAGCTGTGTCCTGTGATCCAGCCAATGTCAGCCACACAGCCGAAAACATCACCTTGCTGGTAGTCAAACACATACTGCAAAGATAAATGTAGGCCCAGCTGACTTCCCCTCGGCAGGTGCCAGGGCTCAGAGGTGAGACGCTAGTTTGGGTACGTCCCTGGGGAGCAAGGGAGCTTGCGGGGCGAGCGGAGCCAGGCACACGGGACACGCAGCATGGACAAAGAGCAGCCCAGCAGGAGAAGCAAGTCAGAGGGACCAGGGAAAAGGGAAACATGTTTGGCTGGCAGCATGGAAGGGGATTGTGCCAGGACTGCAGCCACCAGCCACAGTCCAAAGGCCTGGATGCCTGAAGTAGCCAGTACCTGGCAGGCTACATGCGTGAGCTGACCCTGAGCTGCATGTAGAGGAGCTGCAGGCCTCGGAGGCTCAGCCCCATCATGAATCCAAGCAGGTTTCCATCAGAAAGCTGAAGAAACTGGTAAGTTCCTGAGACATTTTCTGAGAAACGTTCTGAGCTGCTGCTCAGCTTCTTTATCGCTCCTTCTCCGTATTCCCTTCCAGATGCTCCCCTGTCCCTGCTCATCAAATTCAAAGTAGGATTTCCTCAGGGACTCGTTATCTTGTCTCTGTTACGGAAAATGCTCCCCACTGTAAATCTCCTTCTTCTAACAGATAGTGAAGAGGCCCTGACTTTTCATCAGAACCAGTTTTATGTTTGAAATGAAAGAAAGCATATCAGAAATAAAAAAAAAAAAATTGTGTGTGACATACCCTGTCAAATCAAAGTTAGAATATCAAAAACTACAGAGGCAGGAAGGCCACACCAGACAGCTGACTCCTCTATCTAAAAAGTAATTCTCAGCTTACCTTTGCAAAGATCTTTCTCTACCATGCAAGAGAACCTCTAAAGGGAACAGAGCTGCAGAGATGCTCCCTCAGTCTCTGCACCAGCATGCAAGATTTTCCTTCCAGAGCGAGCAACAAATAGATGCCTTGGCAATTACCCTGTCCTTTAGAAAAGCTGACATGTAACAACACTCTTCATGACAAGAAATGTGAAATTTGTGTGTGAAACATTCAAGTCTTCTAAAAATTCAACTGTGCCAGCCGAAAGAAATAAAATGTCTGAAGGAATTGTGTGTCATTACAAAGAGGGCAGTGCCAACACGGTCAGATGGAGATTCTTCACAGCAATCCTGCCAGCGTTTCAGTGCTAGCTTTTTACATGCAGAGCACAGATTAGAAGTCTCAGGAAGCAGAGATGTGATCATTTTCTTCAAGAGAAAGCGGGATAAAGCATTTAGCCAAGATCACATAGAAAAACAGTACAAAAGCATGGACGTGATTATTAATCTTAGGAAACAAATGTTATGCAACACAGCTGCTTTGGAGTCCAGATGCTCTCTGCAATAAAAGCAAAAGGGCCAGCATCCCACCGCAAAACTAATACACTAATACCCACATTATCAGTGCCAGTGGGGTACCTACCTGATCTCCTCATCCATGTCACTTTAAGGCCTTGGCAAATTTTGCGTGCCAGTGGGGTACCTACCTGATCTCCACGTCACTTTAAGGCCTTGGCAAATTTTGGCCTACAAGACGTAACACACTTCAAATGCAAAAGCAGCAGCACAGCGCAGTTCCTAATCGTACCCCTAGGCCCTGTTTTCATAATATTATATTCTCCAGCAACAAATCCTGAAGATTAATTAGATGTTCTTGGGCATTTTTCTGCCTGATTACACCCAATAAGCCAATTAGGCAGCGAACACAGAACGCAGTGGCCCCCACTGGTCAGTCTCTCCTGCTAACCCTGGCAGAAGGCAAGCGAGCCTTTTCCAGAGGCTGGATCTCAGTTACCTTGTGTGTGAGAGCAGCATAGAGCAGGTATCCGGCCTGCGTGTGCACAATTCCTTTGGGTTTCCCCGTGCTGCCCGAAGTATACAGCATGAAGAGCATGTCTTCACTGTCCATGCTCTCTGGAGTGCACACGGAAGCTGCCTTGGCCATCTCCTAAGGGAAAAGAAATGGATGTATCACAGGCTTCACGTAGCTCACACACCTTGTGGAGAAGCTCCTGGCGACACATAACAGCCAGTTCCCCTACCAACAGCTCTAACACGCTCAGAAGTCAAGGGGAAGGAACCACATAAAGTAACACTTTAGGAAGAAAAGGGTAGGCACTAGCTGGCATTTCAAGCCCTTGCTGTTAGAAAACCACAGTGTAGCTGCAAACATGAGCCACTCTGCAGCAGTGGTGCCTGCTGAGGGCCCACACACACAGGCAGAGGGTGCCTGTTAGTGCTACAGCCCCGAAGTCCTGAGGAAGGGTGTTGTTTCTCACCAGCAACCTGCAAGAGAGAACCTGCAAGAAAGTGCATGAGAACCAGCTTCCAGTCCTGCCCGCATGCCCAATCCAGACAGAACAGAAGCCAGAGCTACGATGTGGCACAGAGCAGCACTAAAAAACAAGTCTAGTGATTCCAAGGAAAATCTTCAGGCCAAAACGGACAGCGACACTTCGGATATCAACAGCAGAATGCCTGCCATGTGCTTGCTCGCTGCTGCTTCTGAGCCTCCCACCATCTGAAAAGCCTGGGGGTGGCAAACTGGTAACGACACTTACATGATGGAAAGGGCTGGAATCAAGATAGGCTGTGGATCGGAGGTCTAACTCCAAAGCTGTGGATCGGAGGTCTAACTCCATCTCTAAAGGTTTTCCTGTAAGACGCTTAGACCAGAAGAAAACCTTTCTTCCAGGGCACGACAAACAGCACAAAGGGACTCTGCTTCCTCTGGAAAAGCACTTTTCCATAGCTTGTCCACCCAGACTCAAAAAAAAAATCAGGAAGATGTTGAATGTTTCTGTTAGCTGTGCACCAATGTGCAGTAAGCATTGTGGTATTCCAGATGCTCAACATCTGGCTGCAAAAAAGCACAGCTAGCTTGCTGCTCCCAAACCCCACACTGGCCTAGATGAACAACGAATCCTGCAAGAATTACTACGTGGCACTTGGAAGAGATTTCTAGCTATTTGAAACATTATATACTGTAAACACACTTATTTAGAACTGAATAACAACAGATCCAACTGTTTAAAAGTGTCTGATAGATGAAGCTTAATAGAGAAAGAAAACATCCCTAGTGAGACCTATCCCTTGTCCTCTGAGTTACAGCACTACTGCTCATCCCACTTATTCACTCCAACCCCTTAATGCTGTCAGTTCAGGCTGACTTGCCAGTTTTTGATACTAAGATCAAGTTCTCATGTGCTCCAGCACAACATGAGCTGAAATTTAAGTGTAAGCTTTTGCATAGTAGATGTAGTTCAATTAGGAAAGGAGATATGGGAGTGAATTAGCAAGCCAGCTCGTCAGTATGGCATCACTGTTGTTCTCCACACTGCCCTGAATTCTCATTGCTTCTCAAAAATTTGTATGAAGGACGCAAAATTGCAGACAGAAGGACAAACCAAAAGCCATTGGTGAGCAGGGAAGTGAAGAGATGGACAGGTAGGACAGGACAGAAGGCGCCTATGAGCTGGGAGACCAGCACAACCACTGGATACTTAAGTGGCGAACATCAGGGATGACAGAGTTAACAGCACTAACAGTTGAATTCTTGCTAAGTTTCAAGGTTAACCCTACAATTGACAATGATAGGAGCTGAGTTTATCTGCAGACTTGGGGAGAGGAGAAACTTGGTATGTGCTAGGTGGAGTAAGAACTAGGACAATTTCTGCCTAAAAGCTCCCTTGTCCTGTTTCACCCACCTACTGGTTGCCTACCCTTTCTCCTATCTCATGTGCCCAGCACAGGGACTCCGGGTCTCTATCTTGTCCGCAGAGGGGTGATTTCCAGGCATTGCTGTTATGAGCACTTTCTGCTTCTTGCTGCAGGCAAACTGATAAAACTGCTTTTGCATTAACCTGCAGAGTCCCAGGCATGAGAGCTAAACACATTAAAATGACTGCTGCTTTCTTATCCAGTCAGCAGCAAAAATGCCCAAGCCATTGCACGAGTAATGATATCAGTAGTCTCAGGAAACACTTATTCCTTAAATCTTGGCTCTGTTTGCAAGACTACTAAAATGGAGCAACACAGCATGCTGCAATTCTGTGGTAGACAGAGATGCTTCAAATCGCTGTCCCTGCACATTGTAAATAAAGGCAATGTATCCAAGAATGAAAAGCCAGAGACCATAAAGCATCTCCTTTTCATCTGCAGAACTCAAGTCTAAAAGCCACAGTTGGAGGGAAAGATGATCTAGCCAACCCTGGGACCTGCAGGACTGAGCTACACAGAGTGTATATGTACTAGTGCAGGCACCACCTGATCTTCCTCGGCTGCAGGTTCTCAGGCTAGCCCACAGCAGACCAAAGCCCAGTGCCCAGTGTCAGAAGTGTGCATGGTCTGTGCATCCAGCCAGCCTCTCGCACGCTTGTTCCAAGGAGCCCTGCCTTGGTTCTTCCAAAGCTGTGTTAGCTGATGCCCACATTTGTTGCAGCACCATGGTTCTCTCCCCAAACACCGTAAACACCACGTATTTCAAGAAATGGTCAAGGTTTACCAACATCAACATACATCTTCAAGGGGAACATCGCAGACACCCATCTGGACTTTGTTCTCTGTCCTCTGAGCCACAAAGACATGCTTGATGTTCGGACAGTTCTTTACAGCTTTATCCACAGTTGTCTTCATCTCTATGATTCGGCCGCCCCTGACTCCCTGGTTGTAGGTGATGACTGCTTTGCATCCAGCTAAAAAAAGAGGGAATTAGTGGACATACCAGCCTGTTTTCTGATACATGCACCTTGCTTTCATTACACAAGGAAACATGTCTAGGATATCATGCATGATAAATACTCATAACTCAATCAAAAGCAGTCTGTGCCACTGGCAAAACCATTTTAAACCCTGCAAATTACAGAGATTAGAGGCAATAGGGACCTCCAGATGTTGTCCAGTCCATCCCTTCCACCCCAAGGCAGAATCAGTCCCAGCTAAACCATTCCTGGAAATTAGCAGTCTAATCTTCCTAAAACGCTCCAATGCCAGATACTCCACCACCTCCCCACCAGTCTGCTCCCATGTCTGACTACTAGGAATATCTGAAAGTCTTACACAATGTCTAAGTACTCCTCACTGCAATTTAATTCAATCTCTGCCTGTCAAAGTCAAAATGCAAAAGAGTTTACCCCTAGTAACGTGTGTCATTGTGTACATCGCTTCTCTAGGCTAACAGCTTGTTCACTGAAACCAGTGAAAATCTTTCTACGACTTCAGTAGGTCTTTTCAAACAAGCATTTTCACCCCTTTCTTATCCTCTCTTTGTGAGTGCATGTAAGTGTCCTTTCCACACTTAACAGTGCCAAGCTCAGCACCATCTTTCTGAGGCACATGGTTGTTTCACAAATCGAGATGCCTGCAGCCTTCTGAACTTCCAAGCACCTTGTGGAGAAACTTTCTGGAAGCCATGGAAGAACCCAAGAGTGCTCCAGAACTACAGCTGCAGACAAGTGCTTCTTTAGCCTGTCACTTCCACAGCAAGGGCCGAAGTGAGACAGAAACCTGAACACTTGCTCTCTGTAAATCAACTTTGCTAAAAAAAACAAAGCACAAAACTTGTTGTGAGATTTATTCCTTTGCATTAGCCCTACAAAAATGGACATAACTGGTAAGATGTAGTCACTTGCTATTTTGTTCCTCTGCTGTATTTTTAGTATTACTTTTTATTTAATCATAAGTGCTTGGGGTCAAAAACAGCTCTGTATGTTGGTGGCTAGCAGAGTGCGGCCAGGTTGCCAGTACTTCATTGCTGTACACATAGATCACAATATAGGCTGCAGAACTAGCACTGCATGTGAATATCAGAGCAACAGTGTGGTTATAGTGTAAAATAATAAATCAGGCCCCATCCCTAATCTCCTGTTTTCCCTCCGGCTTTACTGTTGTATGGCAGGAACCTAGAGCAGACTGAATGTTAAGTGATTTGTAAAGAATGCAAAGGCCAGAGGATACTGTGGCTGCCACTAAAGGCTCTTCACGGTACTTTTCTCAGACCGCTGGGCTATCCAGAATATACCTTTTCCATCAAGAAAACGAGGAATTTGGCTAATGGCACAGTTTGGAGGATGTTGAGCACTGTCTGAAGGGGTTTGTTCGCCCGTGGCATCTACTTACAGTCCATGATTCTCCCGGCTAAGGACTCTGCGCTGAATCCAGCGAAGATCACAGTGTGAACGGCACCAATCCTGGCGCACGCCAGCATGGCTGCCACAGACAGGGGAGACACGGACATATAGATTGCAACCTTGTCCCCTTTCTGTATCCCGTACTTCTTCAGGGTGTTGGCGAGACGGCAAGTCATGTCCAGGAGTTCCCTGCAGCACAGAAGCAATGTTGTCACGCGATTGCACAGCCTCTTTTATGCGGGGGAGCAAAAAAGGTTGCAGCTGGATGGAGTGAGGCATCATGTCCACCTCAGCAGCGTAAGGCAGGATGACTCTCGTGTCTTAAAGGAGAGTGGGCCTCTTTGTGGCCAGAATGCTCCTGCCTTGGGGAAGGAAGCAGAAGGAGACAGAGCGCCATGCTGGCTGCAGAAGGATGAGCAGGTGAGAGGAGAAGCCACTGCTCTGGCAAGAAACCTCCCTCTCCCTCGTTGATGGGCTCTGGCAGGGGTAGAGCAAGCCAGAGAGCTTGTGGCTGCCTTTCTGCCTCCAGAAGTGGTGTCCAGCTCATGAGGCTCCTTCAGAAGTCACTGGGACACTAGTGAGATAAACGTAAGCTGAAGCCATCGTCAGAAGATGCCGTGTGCTGTTTCCTTTAAGTCACGGAATTGTTGGAAGCACTTTACAGCTGGTAGTTTCTAAATTACAAGGGTAAGCAAAGTATTTGCATACACAGGGGAGGAAAAAAAAGTGAAATTAAGCCCTGAGACACTTGTGTGAATCATATTTTACAAGATTCTCTGCAACAGCTGGATCATGCATGGATCACCAGCTTGTCTTTTCCCTCATCACATAACAAAGTATTGCAGCCCAGCACAGCTTCAGATATTGCTGCCACGAGAAGAAAACCACAATTACTTCCTCACAAAATGAAACCCGAGAACACTGAGAACAGGAACAAAAGCTCAGTTCACAGTGCTTACCACTGTGACGTGCTGACTTAACAGCAGAAACATTCCTCTCAGACACAAAAATGCACTTTGTGGACAAGGACTTCCATGTGTCTGGTTTCTGCTGCCTGCACCAAGGATATCACGATTGCAGCCATGCCTCAGATAAAGATGCTGTCGTATCTCATGAACTGAACAACTCTGTTCCCAGTGGAAAGACTCCAAGAAGAAGACAGATAAAACCAGGACACAGAGTCAGGCAAGGAGTGATCTTATACTAAGGGGAGCGCTGACCCTCACAGAAGGCAGCAGAGCCTTCCACTGATGCTGAGAGGAGTCTCAGAGTCTGCTAGGAACAAAACTTGTCACCTGGGGTCAGGAGCTCACTGAGTATCAGGGCCTACAGGACAGAGGCATCTCCTGCTCCCTAGCATAGTCATCTTCAATGTGTGACCTGCAGATGCTGGTGCACCTGCAAGCTATTCTAGTGCAAAAACTGAGAAAAACAAATGCATTTGGGGGGGTCTACATATCAAAATAAGCTTTAAAGCATGAATCTACTAGCGTAGGGATTGAGCACAGCTGTGAAAATCAAAAAAGAACACGTAACTTTTCAATAAGTGGCTATGCCAAAAATAAAACTAATGTTCCTGATCAGTCAGAAATGGTTTTGTTTCTTTTTATAAACCAATGTATGCTGGAAAAAGGCAAAGTTCAAGTGTTCCACGATAGAAATATTACAACAAAACCATGGGCTGAGAAAGTAACTTGGCATCTAACTGGTTTAGGACAAAATCCCATCCGCACTGCGAGGGCAAGGAAGCAACAGAGATATAAAGAAAGATACAGGGATGACTGGAGGGAAACTATATCCCTGACATTTTCTGAAGATAAGGAAAACCAGCCTCCCATCCCAGCCACAGCACTTTGTTGCCTGTTTTAGGAGTATTTCTATAGTATTAACTAAATAGATCATTCTTGACGCGCAGTAACTTAGAGAGGCAGCCAACGTGCTCGGTGCCCATGTCCATGCGGCTCAGTCTCTGGCATCAGCCACTTAACAGCTGCCAAACAGAAAGATTGCAGCCTTGTAGGAGGTAGATATTGAGTGTCTTTCCCCTGCACTGAATTTCGTCCTTATCTCTTATAATTAGAGGTTGGCTTAAGCTCTAAAGCACAACATTTAATGCCTCTTTCCAAGTGTTTTATAAACACAGTACTGCACATTCTTACTGGCTACATAAACATGCAGTCTGCTAGCTGTATTTCTGCCTACTTTTATGAAGTTCATGGACTAAACAACTCCCTACAATAATGAATTCCCACATTTGTTCTTCCTTCTTGTCCTAAAAGGCCATATTCTCTTGCCTTCATTTGATGCTGCGTTAGAGAAAAATCTGAATTTGGATAATATAAAACAAACACAAAACAAAACTGATCTTTGTTGCTGCTCAAATATAGAGCGCAGAAAATGAAGTAAGTCCCAGAAAGGCAGTTGTGAGAAAGCAAAATAAAAGACATTTATCTGCAATGGAAAAATATGTGAGTGTTTTAGACCTGCAACCTCTTCTCTTTTTCCAAGAGACATCTGGTGAGTGTGTCCTTTCTGAACAACTCCACATTTCACTTGCTCAGTTAGAACTCAGTTAACAGCAATGGCAGAAGCCTCCATCAACTTTTATGGTTAATTCCAGATTAACACTTGCTTAATGAGAATGTTTGAGATGCTGATAAACAATGAGGAATTTTTACACGTGCTCCTGAGATCTCTTTGCTTTGCCTTGTGCTCTAAGAGGCCCAGATGGGACAGTGCAGCTCTGCTCTGCTCCCTTGCAGGTGGAGCCCATGAGGGATTGGACACAAAGGTGGAAGGGGCTGCAGAGAAAGCCAAGCCAAGATCTCTGTCAAAAACATCCACAAATCCCTGAGCACCAGGCATGTCTTCTGGCTCTCACAGCAGCAACACACATTTCCTCTCTGGTTCAAGAAAGGCCGTTAGTGGAAATGCTGTGTCAAGACTCCTATCCTGACACTGGGGGACACAGAGCCCCTTGAGTGCTCTGCAGAGCTGCATCGGCCCCACTGCAACGCTGCTAGACCCGGCCTCGCCATCGCTCCACCAGCAAGGCGAAAGCAGAAAAGCCGTGGCCAAGACAGGCAGCCCGAGCACGAGAAGGGACGTGCCTGCTGCCCGCACCCCAAAGCCCGCGGTGCAGAGCGAGGCGCCGTGTCCCACGCACCAACTCCAGACACGGAGCAGAGCTGGACACGCCGCCCTGGGGCCTGGAGCACAGTGATAACCACAGCGGCTTCATGTGGGCTGTGCCTGTGCTGAAGGATGGGATACAAAGGAAGGTTAAAAGAAGCGGTTTTAGCATAAAAACCTCTACCTTGAAAGGCCTTAGCCTTTCTGGTAAAGCACGGAGTTCGGTGCAGACGCGCTATTTCTTCACATCGCAAAAAGAGAGAGAGAAAGGCAAAATCCAAAGCAATGCTCAAACTCTTGCCTCCTGCCTGCACTTGCACACAATTTCAATTCACTCACCAAAGCAAACTGTGCCAACCAGGGCATTACGTTCTGCAGAAATGGAGAGGAGAAGCACCTGGGACTGACAGAGGAAGAGGCACAGTGAGCACCCCGGGGACAGCGGGCTCCCTGCAGGCAGGTCTGACGGGAAACAGGAGGATCTCAGCGGAGCAGCTGCTGGAGTTGGAAACGTGCTGCAAATAAAGGAAATGCCCGGCCTTTCTGAGCACAGAAAACTGAGAAACTGCAAAGCCAGTTAATGCACAACAGATCACAGCCCCTCTGCAAAACAGATTGTAAAGGGCAAATCAAATGAGTCAGACGGTGGGACTAGATAGTAGATAAAGTATCAGGGTAGAACTGAGAAACTGGGAACCAGCAACCAACTGGCCCCAAGCTGCATGACTACAGGCAAAGGGATCTTTGAAAACAAAGCATACACATGGGACACAGCAGCAAAGCCAAGGACATGGCTGATGCATCAGTGAACATAGGCAGGGAGCATAAAAATAATAAGTGGAGAAGATTCTGGTCTTAACTTTCAGAAGAAAAATACCTTTCAACTAAAAATATGGACAAGAAGTCTGACCCACTCTTTGAACTGTAGGTGTGAGGGGAAATAGCTGCTGAATATGGATTTCACATGAATGCAACTAGGCAAAAAGCAAATAGCCAAAATGCACACGGAAATGGCAGCATGCCAGGTGGATCCACTTCAACTCTGCTCTCACTCTACCTC